CACTGATGTCATGGAAGCTCTGCTGAGCCAAGGCACATGGAAAAGCTGGCTGAAAGGAAAAAAAGTGATTAACAAACTGAACAGAGAAGTGTGTGCCCATCTTTACAGCCAGCAGAGGCTCTACTTATTCCCAAGCTGGCCACCCCTTATTCTTCCCGTGCAGATGTCCTAGTTCATTTCTCTCTTTATAGCTCCTAAGGACAATGTGGTATCTTTACAAGGATTGTTCTTTCATAATATTAACTCTTAATTAATGTGAGGTCCTGGTCAAATTCCACCTTGGTAGTTACACTGTCTCCAGTAGCTAACTTCCCCTTTCTGCTGGATACATGATTCTTCTTTCCTTCCTGTGATAACTTGCTGTGTGCAGTTAAGTAGTTGCCTTCTTACACCCCAGAGGTAGCTACATTTCAGTAGTAGGTTCAGTGATACTTACGTCCCCATTGCTTGCCTCTCAGTGGGGTTATGCAGGTGTTAGCTGGTCTTTGTAAAAGCTTCCCAGCTCCCAGATGGAGGAGGGCAAGATAGTGTCTTTAAAAGTATATGAGCCTCAGATCCAAATCTGTTTTATAAAGTCTCAAGTTATCATGGATCTCGAGGTGTCTTCCCATCTCAGGGCTTTGGCTGTGAGAATGGAGACTCTGGGGCTTGGGGGTGTAATGAGGGAGAGCTCTGGAGCCTTGGCTTCAGATCCCACGTAGGGCACATGTGAAACAGGTGAGACCCATCCTAGTTTAATGTGATGTTTATCCAGATCTGCTGTCCCAAGACTGGCATAGCAGGAAACTGCAGGTTAGGATTAAAGGGCAGGAGCCCCAGGACAGGAATAACAGGCGGTGCTAGAGGGAAGAGCTGAGGTGCAGCGGTACAGTTGTGGGTCCCAGGAATGGAACAGTAAGGGGTATGATAGATCAGGATTGGAGGGCATTGGCACAGTTGTGGGGGGAGCTTGCATGGCACTTGGCCACTCAGGCTAGTCCCATCAGTCCCTCGATTTCATAAACTTTAAATTTGTTCACAGCCCAGGCCTCGTTATTTAAATCCTATTTCACTCTGCCCACGTCTTGTCAATTGCCTTATCCTGAAGCCTCATGTTGGTAGGAAAATGACTAGAATTTATAGAACAACTTGCTTTGATAGAAATACGGTTAATCTGGCCAGAGTACATATTGGGACTTGTGGTTTTCAATCCAATATGAATTTACAAAATGAATCTGTTAAGCTCCAAATTGCCTCAGGAAAACAAATTTCAGCTATCGCATTCCAGCCCTGCTTGTAAAGCCATCTGTCTTTGCATTTGTGTTTGTAAGTACAAAACAAGAGCTGGATCAAACGCGCTGCCTAATCGTAGCTCCCAGTGTCTACTGGACTTGTGGAAGCCCATCCCTCTCTCATCCTCCAACTGCATCCTCTCTCCTTCCACCCTCAGGATGCCTGTTGTCATGTGTTCTGGAGTGAGCAGCTTACTTCTCTTTGGGGTGAGGTGCTGACAGTTGCCACCTATTTGCATTTGTCCTCCTGGCCCCGATATTGTGCTGTGCAGTGCCCTGCCATCTCCTGCCACAGGCCTGTTCGTGAATGTCTGCAAAGGGCCCAGAACTCCTTAGAAGAAAGTGCAGAGTCTCATTAGTCCCATTAATGCAGAGTGCACCAGTCATTGGAAGGAGACTCAAACCTGAGGCGTCTTTCTTATCCTGCAGGCATAGGACAGACCCATGGAGATTGAGCCAATGGCCTTCCAATGCCTCTCAGGTGTGATTGTCAGTCACATCGCCACACCTGCTCCTGGGGGTGGCAGTGCTATGTAGGGCACACTTCATTGGCACGTCAAAGTTCTTCTGTTCAGATTTATTGTTAAATCGTTTCTGTGTAATTCTCAATATGTTTGGGGCATTGGTTGGAAAGCTGATTGTCTGTTGTAGGAACAAACCAGCACTGCCCCTGGGTTGGGGGAATGGACTGTACAGGACTTGCTAGGGTTAACTCCTATGGCTGTCTGAACCTCCCAATCCACATCTGAAAACGTAGCAACATCCCCTTGGGTGAGCGTGTTAGGAACTCAGGGGCAAGCTGCTGGGGTACAGATGTAGGCAGGTGCAGGAAATGTGGTTCCTTTCCCCACCGAGACCCCCGCTGTCTCAGTCCTAAATGCTCAACTGAACTGGCAGTTCACAGGGATTAGTGTTTTAAATCAGAGCTAATTCCAGGCAGCCTCTCTGGGTTTAGTGCCCTGGAACCATCTCATGAAGAGCCAGAGCTGCCACTGGCAGGTGGGTTTCTGCTCCTTAGGATAATGGCTAGTGTGACAGCCTGAGGAAGCTCTCTGTGCTTTTGGGGTTCTCTGCTGCTTCCAGGCTGTCCCTGCTGGCCAGGCCCCCTCCCTGGAGCATGGCCTCACTGCTTCTCTGGTGCTTCATCCATCACTGTGATTGCTTTATTGAGCCACCTCAGTTATTGCTGCTTATTCTCCATAGCACAATAAATCCAGCCCTGGGCACTGAGCACCCAGGCTGCTCAGAGAGTTCTTGGGAAGGCTGCTTTACCAGGCCCAGCATCCGATGACTCTGAGCCTGGAACTCACCTAAGACAGTGTTAAGAGATTCAGGGTACTTGAGCCACCCCTTAAGCTCCAGCAGAAAGCCTGTTCTCTCCCCTGCTCTAGTCACAGGCACCCTTTGGAAGAGCCCCGTGGAGAGAGCGGAGACTGCCTTCTAGCTGACGAGGCATCCAGCGGTGAGGGCCTCATGGCTGTGCTTTTGCCTTCTAGTTTTGTTTAAAGGGTTGGGAATGGAGGCGTCCAGGGTCTGGGTTATTGATTTCCCAGCACCTTCATGGGCTGTCCATTTTCAGAGGATCCTGTAGCTCCCTGAGCCCTCAGTGGAGGGTTTGCCATCCATTCTTTGCACGTGCCCAGGACTCGAGTCCTGCCATCTCCTTTCCATTTTTTGGTGGCAAAAATCCTTTGTCCTTCTGTTCTAGTTGTTGCAGGCTCCAGATTGCAGCCTGTGTGGTGCTGTTTGGTGAACAGACTCGTGATTTGCAGTCACAGACAAACCTTTTCCTGGGTCCAGGGCATGCTGCCTCTGGGCCTCCTCACCCAACCTGGGCCCACTGCCTCTGCCCCTTACCCCTGCCCCCTCAGTCCTGATCCCAACTACTGGCTCTGTACCTCTGTCTCCTGGCACCCTGCTGTCCCACACTGCTGCATTGTCCCCAGCCACTCACTGCTCCTGGGCACGGGCTGGGAGTCCTGGGGGCTGCTCCCAGCTCTGCCATGGACTTGCTAGATCCCTTTGGACAGGTCCCTTTTAGAGGTGCTGAGCGCCCAGCTGCCAGTGACTTCCATCTCTGCTGATCAGGCCTTTCTCTGTGCCATGGGGTGAGGGCTGGGTGAGGTGCCTCTCCAGTGTGGCTCCGTGCACTGGTCTGGTAGGACCCTAGCACTGAAACACCCTTAAAATGCTTGAATACTGGGACTAGAAGGGGAAAGCGCATCTGTAGCTAAAGAACCCCATGAAATGCTCCTGAAAAATGTGGGTTTTTCCCTGCTGTGGGGCTGCAGGGCTGGGCCTGGTGCTGTGGGGGAGGGTCAGTGTGTGGGGCTGGGGGTCATGCCCAATGCAGTAGGGGAGGGTTGCAGTGTGAGGCTGGGGGCAGCGCGGTGGGGCTGGGGGCAGCGCGGTGGGGGAGGGGCAGTGTCTGGGGCTGGGGACGGCGCGGTGGGGGAGGGGCAGTGTCTGGAGCTGGGGGCAGTGCTGTGGGGAAGGGGTAGTGTGTGGGGCTGGGGGGAATGGTTGGTGTATCGGCTGGGGTGGCGCTCTGGGGAAGGGTTGTTGTGTGGGTCTGGGGGGGGGCGCTGCGGAGGA